TGACTTTTTTCCAATGCTGTACTGTCCAATCCTTGTGTTCCTGTGTGAATTGGAAACGTTTTATCTTGGTAACTGCAGTATCAGCATGTTTTGCTGATACTTGCTCTATGGCTCCGAGTGCCAACAATCATCCCATTTCAAAGGCTGTTAAATTGTGTTGTTTACTCATATCTTTAGGAAAAAATCACTTCTACTGTCGTGGTAAACAACCTGCTTCCCTATTTATAATGGTCTGGCCCTCTAGCAACTTCAGCACAAAATTATAGCTAATTTGCCTACAAACATCAAGTGGTCATAATAATCTGGCCACTCAGTGTATATAGAATGTAACAGAATTTATTATAGGGTAATTTACCCCTGGGAAAATTTGGTTGGATTGGAACAGATAACCCAGCAATTCTCTGCAGGTTATTCTCCACTACGAGACCCCTGTTACAATACTTCTTTATAGCATAACTTGTGTACTAATGATTGATAGGACAAAAAATACAGTAGCATCAGGGGCCAGTAGCACAAGGCCTGATGGCCTTATGATAGATGATTGTTTATAATTGATACTATTACCAGCTTGTCATCTCAATTGATGCCATTCTGGCTGTTTCAACAAAAATATTTATGGCTATTTTTAAGCAATACAAATAATCATGAATTAGAAGGCTTTCATATGCTTGCTAAGGACAATGAGGTTGGTCAAAGGTCACAGCATGAAACTTAAAAGTGAAATGAAATCTGGGACACAGAGATGGGTTTTTTTGTGTTCACATCTACATCTATACATCATAGTAATATAAGCCACCATAAGTCACGAGATCTAAAATAGTGGAGACATAAGCCCATCATCACTCCAACCAAGCATAATGTCTCTCAAACAGGCCAATCACATTCCTTTTTATATGTCTTGTTTATACCATCCCATCCTTCAAAAAATGTTCTTGCTTATTTAGATGCTACCCTTTTCAAAGCCCAACCTAAGGTTTCCCTCCACTGTAGAGACTTCCCAGATTAATTCGTCTTCACTGTTCTCTTCCTATTCTGAATTTTAGTGATTTGTAACATGTATGCTAGCTATTTGGTCTTTATTATACACTAGAGGCCCGGTGCATGAAATTCGTGCATGGGGGGGTGTCCCCTCAGCCCAGCCTGCACCCTCTCCAATCTGGGACTGTTTGACATCCCTCTTCACAATCCAGGACCGCTGGCTCCTAACTGCTCACCTGCCTGCCTGCCTGATTGCCCCTAATGGCCTCTGCCTGCCTGATCGCCCCTAACTGCTTGCTTGTCCCTCACTACTCCCCCTGCCAGCCTGGTCGCCCCATGCAGCCTGCTATTCGGTTGTGTGGTTGCCCCTCACTGCCCCCCCCCACCAGCCTGGTCACCCCCCACAGCCTGCTCTTCAGTCATTGCGTGAGGGCATCCCGACCAATTTGCATATTAGTATCGATTTTTGCCTTATATTGCTAATGCATACTTCTCTATCCAAATTGACTTGTGAGATCCTGGAGGACCATATTTTTAGCACCTAACCCAATATCTTGCCCAAAGTAGTTACTAAATACAGTTTGAGTGATATGTGTCTTGATATTAATAAATAGGGTAATAGAACTCTTGGAGGAGGAAAAATATTTGGCAGATACAGATATAGGATATATTTGTGTAAGATGGTGAGGAGGAGGAAGTGAGAAAAATTTGGTAGTGGGGAAGCCAAAGGCAAATATCTTTTTAAAGGAAGGTTTATAAATTTACATTTGATATGGAAAGCAGAATTATGAAACTGTACTTCAGAAAAAGAAAATGGTTTTAATGAGGAGAAAGAATCAGAGAAAAACAAACTGAAAGTAGTTTGAATTAGAGGATGAGTGACCAAACCCCCAAAATTGAATATATAGTTACAAAAGAACATGTGTAGAATCCAGTTTTCACTTACTACAATTGCTTTATAAATGTCATTTGAAGTGCTAGTGAGAATATAAAGGGTGTCCCAAAATTCACGCAAGAAGTAATTTTGAGAGAAAACACAGGTTTATAATTAAAAATTGTAAATTTTTTATTGATTCATAAAGTATACAGTAT